TTTCTGAAAGAATCAAAGACAGACTTAGAATGTTTAGAATGTCAGTTTTACCCAGTTCAATGCTTTTACAAGTGTTGCCAAGAAAGAAATTCCCAGATGCAAACATGTCAAAATGATCTTTGTGAAAGGGGGAGCAAAAGCATGTTTCAAATGTTGGTGATCAGCAATATTCTTGAAATATAATTATAGCCTTTGAAATCACGTGTCTTAAAATTAATTGTCCCAAGATCACGGTTGGGCTTTTCTTTCACAGAACTTTCAAACAACCTCAAATGTAATGCTAACTGGTGGTTTGTTTTTCATAAGAACGGCACAGAATCTCCTTCCTAGTTAGCTGGTGTAAGTTACTAAAATGGACAACACGACAAATGTGGGTGGGGTCAGGCAGGGCCGGAGCGGATGTGCATCTGAGGTCCTGCCTCTGGCTTGGAGCTTCTCCAGGGCAGCTCTGCCCGCTCCCCCTATCCCTCCATCCCCCCACCCCCGCACCTCAGCTTTCATCGCTCTAACAACTGCTGAGACACCAGGGGAGACCCATGAGCCGGAAATGCGGACTCGAGGTCTGATTCTTCCTCAAGTTAGTGCAGAAGGGATTTCACCAAGTGTAGTTCGATTGACAAAAAATACCGATGTCATTTTTAAATTGTAAAATTGTATTTCCAGATTCTCACCCACGTGGGGGTAACAAAGGACCCACGTGAATGGCTCAGCCCATGGAGTCTGAGATGGAGGAACTGACTGGGGGAAGAGGGAGACCTGAAAATTCTAGAGCACCTCCCACTCCTGGCTGAGTCCTGGATGACGTCACAGCAGCGACTTAACAAACCAGATTCATTGCCGCAGGGCAGCGCTTCCCAACTGAGGGTTGCAGGGATTCAGTCTGTTAGAAGATAGTTGCAGTGAGCGGGGTCTACTCTTAGTTGCGGTGCTTGAGCTTCTCATTGCGGTGGCTTCTCTTGTTGCGGAGCACAGGCTCTAGGCATGCGGGCTTCAGTAGTTGTGGTGCGCAGGCTCAGTAGTTGTGGCTCGCAGGCTCTAGAGCACAGGCTCAGTAGTTGTGGTACACAAGCTTAGTTGCTCCGTGGCATGTGGGATCTTCCTGGACCAGGGCTTGAATCCGTGTCACCTGCATTGGCAGGCGGATTCTTAACCACTGCGCCACCAGGGAAGTCCCAGTATTTGACCTTCTGATTTACTTAGTATGATAATCTCTAAGTCCATTCATGTAGCTGCAAATGGCATTATTTCATTCTTTTTTATGGCTGAGTAGTATTCCATTGTATATATACACCACATCTTCTTTATCCATTCATCTGTTGATGGACATTTAGGTTGTTTCCATGTCTTGGCTATTGTAAATAGTGCTGCTGTGAAATAGGGGTGCATGTATCTTTTTGAATTATAGTTTTGTCTAGATGTATGCCCAGGAGTGGGATTGGTAGATCATATGGTAACTCTACTTTTAGTTTTTTAAGGAACCTCCATACTGTTTTCTATAGTGGCTGCACCAATTTACATTCCCACCAATGGTGTAGGAGGGTTCCCTTTTCTCCACACCCTCTCCAGCATTTACTGTTTGTAGATTTTTTGATGATGGCCATTCTGACTGGTGTGAGGTGATACCTCATTGTAGTTTTGACTTGCATTTCTCTAATGATTAGTGCTGTTGAGCATCTTTTCATGTGTTTGTTGGCAACCTGTATATCTTCTTTGGAGAAATGTCTGTTTAGGTCTTCTGCCCATTTTTGGATTGGGTTGCTTGTTTCTTTAATATTGAGGCTCAGTAGTTGTGGCACATGGGCTTAGTTGCTCTGCAGCATGTGGGATCTTCCTGGAGCAGGGCTCAAACCTGTGTACCCTGCACTGGCAGGTGGATTCTTAACCCCTGTGCCACCAGGAAAGTCCCTCTCTTTTCTTTTTTTTTAACTCATTGATTTCTATTCTGATCGTCACTATTTCCTTACTTCTACTTAATTTAGGTTTGATTCACTCCTCTTTTGCTACTTTCTTGAGCAAGCTTTTGTGGGAATGTAAGTTGGAAGTTTAGATTGTCTTCCTTCTAGTGTAAGTTTTTAAAATGACATTAATTTCCTTCTAAGCACGGCTTTAGCTGCCTCCCTTAAATCTGACATTTTTCTTTTCATTCAGTTTTAGATATTTTCTAATTTTCCCTGTGATTTCTTCTTTGGCCCATCGGTTATTTAAAAATGTGTTAATTTCCAAATATTTGGGAATTTCTCAGATTTCTTTCTGTCGTTGATGTCTAATTTAATTCCATTGTAGGAGACGTATTTTGTATGTTCTCAATCCTTTTAAAATTTTCAGACACTTGTTTTGTGGCCTACCATATGATCTATTCTGGACAATGTTTCATTTGTGCTTGAAAAGAATGTGTATTCTGATGTTGTTGGATGGTTTTCTATAGTTGTCAAATATTTCAAGTTGGTTGCTAGTGTAATTCAGGTTTTCTATACCCTTGTTGACTTTGTCTTGTTCTATCAATTGCTAAGAGGAATTTTAAATCTCCAACTGCAACTGTCATTTTCTCCTTTCTATTCTCATGATTTGTTTTACATGTGTTAGAAATTCTTTCTTTTAAAAGGCTATATAATATTCCATTGTATGTATATAGTACGTTTTATTTACCCAATCATCCATCAATGGATACTTGGGTTGCTTCCACCTTTAGGCTATTGCAAATAATGCTGCTATAAACATGGATGTACAAATATCTCTGAGTCTCTGATTTCAGTTGAGTATATACTCAGAAGGGGAATTGCTGGAGCAAATGGTAATTCTGTGTTTAATATTTTGAGGAACCACCATGCTGTCTTCCATAGCAGATGCACTATTATAATATTCCCTTCAGCTGTCAAAGCCATGGTGTTTGACCTCCCACCACAAATCAAGTCCACCCCCTCCAGCAGCAAAGCTACTCGTTTTCTTGGCTAGCCCCACCTACACTAGTTAAAACTACACTAGTAAAACTATAGTTCTGGGGCAACAGGGCAGGAAAGAAGCAGCCTCAGGCAAGAAGTTCACAGACATCTACAGTTCCTACTAGAATTTTTAGCAGTTTTCAAGAATAGATGTTTCTCAAATTGTGTTTGACTTCCAATGCCCTGAAACAATCGGTTGTGTTTGACAATTTTGTCCAATTTTATTTATACTATCTTTGTGTGCAGAGGAATTGTTGACTGTGTCATATAACCAGCGCTGAAAGTCTTTTCCACAGTTTCTCTTTAAGTAGGAACCTGTATTAGTCAGGACCTTTCAACATTTAGTAAAAGAAATCCAACTGAATTAGTTATGACTTTTAGAATTTTGAGATACAGAAAACCCCCCAATAAAACTTATTTAAACAATACAGGAAATTTATGGCTCACAATTCTAAACAGTCTATAGGATCGTCTACAGGACAGGTCAGACAGGTGAGGTTTGACAGTGCAGCTCTAATGATGCAACAAACGCAAGGTTCTTCTTCTTAGTGCACATTTGACAGTACTGACTTCGTCTTCAGCCTCTTTTGGTGCCTTTCTCCTAAACCCTGTCCAGGCTTTCTTCTTGTAGGAGCAAAACAGTTGCCACCTTTCCAGACCTCATAAATTTACACCATACCAGAAGAGCAAGGATGCTGCAGTTTACTAGATGGCCCAACCCAAGTCTCGGTGGGTCTCATTGGTTCTGATTGGGTTACAGGACCATCCCGGAAAGGCTCAGCCACCAGAGGGAACGATTATGCTGCATAGCTTAAATGGGATGAATGAACCTCAGGAGGCAACCAACAAATTTGTGTTAGGCAACACAAATTAGCCCTAAATAATAAATAATTGCATTGGCTTACCCAGCTAGGTTCACATCCTCAAAGCACTTTAAAAGAGCTATACAAACCATGGCCTCTGAGGCTGAAGCCAGTCTTCATGCTGCCAACTCCCGGATTCTCTCCCCCTCCTTTCCCCAACCCCACACTCCCGTTTTGGCCTCATTCATTGCTGCTGCAGAAAGCCCTCTTTACGTTGTGAATAACATGGCCATCAGCAGTTACCACAGTAAAACGCTATCTTCTCTCCCTTTTCTGTGTCCATGTAGCAATTTCCAGCAAGGGCTCAATAGTGCCCAACATGGGTCAGTGCCCATCCCTTGGCCCAATCATTGTTGCCAGAGGCAGAGTATTGTACCTGGCAAGGTAACATGCCCATCCCAGTGGTCAGAGGACACCGTTCTGTTGCCAGAGGGGCAATAAGAAAACTTTTCAAAAAGTCAGAAAACAATGGCTACCACACACAGACCATCTTGGTATCTAATTATGGGCTCTTCTTGAATGTCAGGCGGAGGCGGCTGAACTTGACCGAGTAAGAAATGCAGGGTACAAGGGAGAGATCTATTGTCAGACTGGAGGCAGGCTGCTTTGGGAGGAACTGGGCAGGATGGAGTAGAGGTCAGTCTAAACATGTAATGAAGTTGTAAAGAGAGTATCGCACGCAGGAATGGAAGTGATTGGGAAGGCCCATCCATCCCCAGTCTTATCATCCCCCTAATAAAACTGCCAAACTTTATGAGACAAGACACGTAAAAAGATCCCTGATTTCCAGCCATGCATTAGCAGGACAATTCTTGAAGCCTTTGTGAAGGATTTCCGGAGGAAATGCGGTCATTTCCATCTTCCTCTAGATCCAATTCTGTCTGCAAGCTAACCGTGCAGAGGGAGGCTCTGATTCAGGACCTCCTCGGTACATGGTGGGGACCCCGCTGCGCCGCAAGGACCAAGGGAGGTCCTCGTCGACACCCATTTTAGGAACGCTGAGGCCAGTCCCGATACAGAGTTCTAGACAAGTTTCTCCTCGGAAGCCCACGGCGCTTCCTGCATCCAAGCCCCCAGCAAAAGTCCCCACCCCAAGCCAGACTCCCCTCCCAGCCCGGGCCACGGAGAGCCCCACCCAGCGGCGGCTGGGCCGGCCTCCGGGCCGGTTTAACTGGTTAGGGCTGAAGCCCGCGGTGCAGAAGGTCTGCGCCTCCGTAGCTGGGGAACAGGCTGCCCGAAGCGTGGACAGGACTACGTCTGCCCTTCTCCGGACCTCGACCGGCTCTGCCCCCAACGGTCCTCGCGGAGCTCGCGCGAGTAAGCGCGCGTCCTCCCGGCCCCCGACCACCAGAAACTGCGCAGGCGCCAGCGGAGCTCTGGCGCGGCGCGTTCTCTCGCGCGCTCCCGGGTCTCCCCAGTTGGCCCCTCGGCCGGGCAGGCGCCATGCTTCCTGGGTGTTGTAGTGCGGCTCCCGGCGGAGGGCCGCCTGCGGACTGGGCGCTGGGTTTCCGAGGACTACCCATCCCAGCATGCCCCGCGCGGGGGCACAGGGCGCCGGCCCTGGACGGCCCCGGCCGTCAGCGCCGAGAGGAGGACCCGGGAAGCAGGGTGCAGCGGGAGGAGGGAGTGCGCGTGCGCTCTGGGCCGGCTCGCCCGGTTCTGTCCCAATCATTGTAAACAGGCGGAGGCTGGGGCGGGGTGGGAATGGGGCGCCCGAGGCCGGCCGGGGGCGCAGCGCAGAAGGCGGCCGCGGCGGCGGGCGGTCGCGAGGCGGCGGCGCAGGTCAGTGGCGGGCGGCGGGGCGGGTGGGGGTCGCGGCGGGGCCCCGCTGTCCGAAGCCGTCCGCGCGCCTTCTCGTGGCGTCTGTCAGGCGGTTGCGGGGCCGGGCTCTCGCGGGGCGGCTGGGCGGGGGCGTGGCTGCCGGGGGCGGCTGGTTCTGGCGGCTTGTCCGCGGCTCCGGCCCGCCCTGCCCGTTTCTCCCGCTCGCTGGTCGCGGCTCTTGGGTCTGGGCGGGGAGGGTGGGGAGCCGGGCCCTACCCGGGGCCCGGGCCTCGGACGGGGGAGAGGGACTCGGTCTTTTACATAATCGCGGCCGGGATGCTGACGGGTCTCCGGTGCGCGCCCGGTGAGGAGGGAGGGCTCGTGGAAGCGGCGGGGCTCCTGGGTGCTGCGAGGGCATCGGCAGAGCCGAGTTGGGAATTCTTTTCACAACTCCTTGTCAAGCGGGCTGGCGCCCAAAGGCTCTTATGGAGGTCAGCTGGGTGCGTGTGTGTGTGTGTGTTTATCGTTGTGAGAGTGAAACAGGTTTCGCCAGATATCCCACACCTCAACCTTACCTGAAGTCCTTATGCTGCTTCAGGTTTGGGGATTCATGACTCCAGAGCCTCCGTCTTGAGCAAGCAGAGCATCTTTTCTCTAAGGCCTGATCGAATGCTTGAAAATAATTAAAATGTTAACTCGAGTTTTGAACGTGCAGGTGCAAATACCGTCGTTTGGACGCTGAGTTAACACACCGACGAGCCTCATTAGGAGAGCTTTCACTCAACGTTCTGTTGGGTGGAGCGGGCTTGTCCCCGCGCTGCAGTACTTTGGGTGGCAGTCCATCATGCTGGGCGGTAGTTCACAGAATATTCAAGTAGCGATGATGAGGAACAGGCCCACCTGTGGTTTGCTGGCCACGGAGGCAGCGCTTCTAAATGAATAAGTGGGTCTGGGAATGAGAAAGGTAACTTCACTTTCTGCCTTCCGAATTATCTTGGTGACTTGATAATTCCTTTCTGAGTATCTTCCTGAGAATGAGTGATTGCTGTAAACTGTATTGGCAAGTAGTAGAGGTAGGAAGGAAGTTAGTAGAAGGGTTTCCACTTTTCAAAGTGACCCATAGATGTAAGCGAGGTGGGCTAGTTTAACAGTGACCGTTGGGAAATAATTCTTTAAAAGAGTATCTTGAAGCTATGCGACATAATTTACTGTCTCTTTAAAATAGTATTTCTCATTTTAGATCTTCCAGGGACCATTTCTCCCCTACTTTAGAAAAAACAGAAGTGGTATCAGAAAGTGCATATTAACTTTAATTTGTACAGGTGTTTGCTTGGCAAGGAGAGGTTGGGCCCAGAATGTAACGCAAAAGTATGTTCTTTCTTTTTTGAACGAAAATGTCTGATAGGAACTTAGGTTAGTATATGTAGAGGGAAAAAGGGAAAATGCAGGTCATTTAGTGTAATTTCTGTGCAGCAGGTACTGTGGAGACTTACAGATGCATGAGGCAGTGCCCCTGCCTTCAGGGTGGTAAGACTTTCTCACTTACTTGAACTTCCGCAAGTACAATATGTTTTTAAGGTTGCTTTGAGCGGAGGAAGGACGGAGAGTGCAGTGGGTGTTCAAAGGAGGCAGTGGTCTGTGTCTTGAGGGAAGAGGAGGAGAGACTGAGCAAGGGGCAGTGGTCAGGAAAAGCGTATGGGAGAGGATGAGAGCAGTGAGTATACAGGCTTAGAAAGGATGGGCATTTAGGCGGGAGGAGCAGTGTGAGAAGAGCGCGGGAGTCCGAACAGAGTGAGTTGTAGGATCTGCAGGTGCGGCTGATGAGGGCCGAGGGTGGTGGCAAGATGTGAAACTGGGGACGTAGGCAGAGACCAAATTAGGAGTAGTCTTGTAGACAGGTGATGTAAGTCAGCCTAACCTCGAAGCAGACAAGAGTCACTGAGACAGGATGAAGAAGAGGTCTAAGCCTCTCAACCCATTGTAACTCCTTGCTGTGTGTCAAGCATTGTATTAGGTGCTTTATACTTTATGTCCTTGAACCAGAAGAAGGTTTAGGCATGACTGAGGCAGAAATCTTGGGAAAGGAAAGGAAGGCCAAGGGAAAGTTGGACAGGAGGAGAGAGAGCATCGCAAGAACGGGAAGTTGTTCTCTGCAGCTGTAGGATTGGGCTTACAGGGTAAGTAGCATACGATAAGGGTGCACAGATCAGTCCTCAAGTACTTTGTGCTATTCTGAGGATTCTCGAGGGCTTTTCCTTTAGATAATAAGAGAGCTTATGGATTTTAACCAGGAAAGAGTCATGATAAGGTTTTCATTTTAGAAAGACCATGCTGGTTATTGTAGAGTATAGATTTCAGAAGGGATGGAGGGACAACAAGGAGGATGCAGGAAGACTGGTGAGGAGTTTTTGTAATAATTGAGGTGACAGGTAAGGGCCTAAACTAAGGTAGAATCAGTGGAGATGCAGAGGAATAAGTTAATAGCACAAATATTTAGGAGGCCGAATTAATAGGGTTCAGTGACACTTGGATTTGGGGAGTGAGAGAGAAATAGTAGGATAAGATGACTTGGATTTTAACTTAGGTGATTGAATAGACAACAAACGGTAAAGTATGCTGAGACAGGGAATTCAGGAAGAGGAGCAAATCTGGGGAGGAACAGTATTTTAGCTTTTGGATACACTGCATAGGAGTTATCTGTAAAACATCCAGGTAGAAGTGCTTGTGTGTGGGTTTGGAGCACAAGAGAAAGGTCTTGATAGGAGAGTCATCAAGCTATCTTATAGGTGGTTCCTGAAGCCTTTGATTTAGGTAACACGGCATAGGAAGAGTTTACTGATGGAGAATGGTCCTGGAAATAGGCGATGGAGGGCAATAGCATTTGAAGCCAGAGAGAAGAAGAACTGGAAAGGGAAATTCCTATGTGTTGAGAAACGCTGAGAAATCATGAGGAGATGTTGTAGAAGCCCAAATGGGATCATTTCAAAAGGAAGCTATACTTCACAACTGCCTCTCCAGAAAAAATAAGAATAAAGGAAGCTGTATTTCAAATGCTTTGAGAACTCGAGTGAAACATGGATTTTTAGGAGTCTGTTGAATTTGATAACTAAGTGAGAGCAGTTTCTTAGCATCCTACTTAATGCTACCATTTGGGGAGGGAGCTAAGTTTGAGTTGAGTTAATGGGAGGTCAGAGAGTGGAGAAAGCAAATGTAGGTTATTTCAAGAATAAACAAATCTTAGCTGTGAAGGGAAGAAAAGAAAGAAGTGTTAGCAGAGGGTAATAAAGGGTTAAGAAGGGAGTTTTAACTTGGCAAAGACTTGAGCCTGCTTTTCTTATAACAGCTTCATTGAGATATTCATATAACATAAAATTGATCCTTTTAAAGTGCACAACAATTCAGTGGTTTTTCGTGTGTTCAGAGTTGTGCAACCACCTCTACGATCAGTTTTAGAACCTTTTCATTACCCCTCTTCTTCATTGTCAGCCATTCACCATTCCCCCTGCTTCCACTCACTAGCAACCAGTTATCTACTTTCTGTTTCTGTGGTTTTGCCTATTCTGGACATTTCACGTACATGGAATCATGTATGTAATCATTTGTGACCGACTTTCTTTACTCAGCATCATGTTTTCAAGGTCCGTCTATATTGTAGCAGGTGTCAGTACTCCATGCCTTTTTATTGCTGAGTAATATTCCACTGTCTTGGTCATACCACATTTTGTTTATCTGTTCATCCATTGATGAACATTTAAGTTGTTATTTACTTTGTGGCTATTATGAATATTCCTAGTGTGAATGTGCAAGTTTTCGTGTAGAAATATGTTTTCATTGTTCCTGGGTATATACCTAGGAGTAGAATTGCCGGGTCATGTGGTGACTTTTATATTGAACAGTATGAGGAACTGCCAAACTGTTTCCCAAAGCAGCTGCACCATTTCACTGTCCAGAGTAAGGACTCTGATTTCTCCATATCCTCACCAACACTTGTTATTTTCTGGTTTTTAAAATTTTAGCTATACTGGTAGGTGTGAATTGGTATCTCATTGTGGGTTTGATCTGAGTTTCCCTGGTGGCTGATGGTGTTGAATATCTTTTCATGTGCTTATTGGCCATTTGTATATCTTCTTTGGAGAAATAGTTATTCAAGTCCTTTGCCTATTTTAACATTTGTTGTTCATCTTCTTGTTGTTGAGTTGTAAATGTTCCTTTACATATTCTGGATGCTGGACCCTTATCAGTATATATGATATGCAAATACTTTCTTCCATTCTCTGGGTAGTCTTTTTACTTTCTTGTTAATGCCCAAGGCAAAGGTTTTAAATTTTGATGAAGTACAATTTATTTTTTTTGTTACTCATGATTTTGTTATCATATCTAAGAATCCATTGCCAGATCCAAGGGCTTGCAGATTTACACTATGCTTTCTTCTAGGAGTTTTATTCTTATATTTAGTTCTTAGTTCTAAAACCTTAGTTTAGGTTTTAGTTCTTATATTTCGATGTTGATTCATTTTGAGTGAATTTTTGTATATGGTCTGAGATTGGGTCCATTTT